TTACATCACTTTGAGTCTTGTTTTCTGACACTTTCTTGCTTCCCCAACCCCCTGATCATTGTGCTGTTAATTAAAGACGTGACTGAGTAATATGACAATGGCCGGTCAACAATCAATACACATTATCAGTATCTGGGTTGTCTGTCCATAAGCATAGGAGAAGGCCTCTGAAATTTCCATTGACATCCGAGCAATGACAAGTAAGGTGTTCACAAGTTACCAAACTGTTACCTATGCTCATTACATAATTCATTCCAGAGTGGTGCTTATGTCTGTGGTAGCTAGAGCCTTGGTAGTTATAGCTTAATTTTATTTAAAAACCAGAAAGAAAGCAGCCACTAATCATTGCTTGGACTTCTTCTGCCTTATTTTAAAACCCAATCATTCCTTGGCTTTGTTATGTAGTAGAATCTTCAGAGTACCATTCCTTGGGAAATCCTTAAGAGGCTAATTCTTTTCACAGTGAATTCAATTTGCTTTTTATTATCCCCAGAGTAGAAAAGCATAAAATCACTTTCAGTACAACTGTAACCTGCTTCCACAGTCCTCTCAAAGAGTCAGAGGGAGAAATGGTGATTAAGGCTCTGTTAATATGTGTAGGGGAGCTAGTCTAATGGACGGTTTGTCTCTAAGAGCACTGTCTTCTCAAATATTGTATTTAAGTGTTATAAGATGGAGACAGTATAACAGATTGTTTCCTTGTCACTGCTCCACTTGAAACCTCTGCCACTCAGCTGCAAGACCCCAGCAGCTCATTTAATTTCTCTAATACTTCGCCTCCTCCTCTGTGATTTCGGGATAATAAACCTACTTCACAGGGCTAGTCTGTGAAATGAATGGGGTCATGTCTAGGAAACATTTTTGTGAATTTTAACATACTAAAGTATTACTAGTAGTAGTCGTAGTATGCGTTACTCTGCCAAGTGAAGTATGCTGCAGTATAGAGAAAAAGAGAGAATAAGAATTTGTGTAGGTAGGAGATCCGGAACGAGACAGATGAAAACATTGGGGTAAACCACATAACTGAGGAACAGCAACAGAAGGAAAGGGGAGCCTTAGACAGCTGGGTGCTTGTGCAGGTTGTGTGGGCCTCTTGGGAATGTTACTCTGAGGATGTGTCCTTTTTTCTCTTTGAGGGAGTGTGATTGACTCATTATAGGAAAAGGACTTTCAGAGCCAGAGCCATGCTCTTTGCACTGAACAGCAGTCGGGCGAAGTTAGCATCCTGCATCTAGCCCCAGACAATACTAAGACGGGGGGCCCGCTTTGGAGTCAGACCTGGGTTTGAATTGCTTCCAGCTGCATGGTTTTTGGCAAATCATGTATCCTTTCTAGCCTCAGTTTCCTTATTTGTAAAATGCAGTAAGTTAATGTTAGTAAGATCAGATCAGATAATGAATGAAAAGTACCTGTCACATCATGAACAATAATGTTTAATTATATTTATTTCATTATTAATTACAATAGCTTTAATATTAGCCAAAGCAAAGATTTGCCAAAAAGAAAATGAATGCATGTGACAGTGCTTTTGCTTTCTTTTTCTCCCTTTTTTCTTTCTTTTAGAAAGTAAAAGGTTTAATGAATGATCATAAGATTATGTATGATTTTAAAGATGTTGAATTAATCACTCTGCAAGGTTATGGTCTAGGTAAAACCTTCACTGAATCATCTGCTAAGTTCATATAGACAAGTACCACAGAAAGTGCTAAACCTGGCCATTTTCTGTGAAAATGAAAGGTGTCTCCCATCTAGAATCCCTTTTTTGGGCCAAGAGGAAGCTGTAGGCAATCTAAATAGTTATTCTTTTTTGAGGGGGTGGAGATGGGAGGGTAGGGGTAGCAATTAGACTATGATCTTATGAAATCGATGGATATAATTACAAATGGCAGCTCTGGAATTTGCTCTCAGGCCTGTCCATTATCTCCTAGTGCAAGGGCTCCCTCTGCAGGCTCCAGCAGCTTCAGAGCCTGCATGAGACGCTAAGTCCAGCTATGCAAGTTCCTGTTGTACTTCTTCTTATTTGTGAACATCACCCCTTCCACTGACATTAAACCTGCATATCTGAAAATGTCATGGTAAATGTACCTCTTGGGAACCACTGGTGCTGCATCGTGGCAGAACCCCTGCTGTCAAGGGCTGAAGTGAGTTCTGACCACAGTCCGCTTGTGGACATTTACCCGGTGTTGTGGCCTCGTGTGGACACGTGGCCCATGGAACAAAAGACACGATATCTTTTTAAGACCTGACCACAGTAGCGCAACGCTGTCTCTGTGGATTTACACACTCATTTCTGGGCTTGATATTCCCATCTATTGAAAAGTATGGTCCATAAACACCAAGGAACCACCCCAAAACGTGTTACTGATCAACTCTAACACCTGCAGAATGTGTTAAGATTTGATTTAAAGTCTTTTAGATTCATAAAAGCATATATCAGATTATATTTACATAGGCTGAGAGATTGTAAAAGACTGTTTTGCTAGATAAAGCATAGCTACATGCCAACAATTATATAGAAATAGCTTGTTCGAGGTAAACACAACAGTACTGCAGATGACATAGGATCACACCCTTAAAGCTCACTGGCCAAGGTTCAGATACACAGAAGGGGAGTAAGATGCCCACAGGGGCAGCTCTTCTATTGTATTTAGCCTTCAGATATCAAGTGGGAAGGGCTGGAGAGAACTAAATGAGAGAGAACATGGAGCAAGTGTGTGGATCATGTATACCTGGAGACTCTCATTCAGTGAATTTATAGATACTCCTCTAAAGGTACTTCCAAGGTACTCAAGAAAGAAGAGATAATAGATATCTGTATAATACAGGAAAAGTTCATGTTCTGTACTTGGAGTTCTTAATGATAGGGGTGATCATTTCAGTTGGGAGAAACTTGGTGTCCCTGAAAGCTGGGAGTCAGAAAACAAGAGGTGTTAAAGAGATAATTAGTACCTGTGGTCTCAAAAGCAGCTAAGTTCTAAGTGGAAGAGCTGGAGAGAGGAGACCAAATCATAAAAGGGGCCTGTAAGCAAAGGGGAAATACGTAATTATGAAAGTAGATATTAAAAGAATGAACTCAGTGGTAAGATAAAGTTTAATGGCTGTCCTTATTGTTTTAAAAGCCTTATTTTCTCTGGAAGTATTTTAGGGTTTGTAAGTAGAAAGTAAAGCTAAACAAAATATGGGCTTCTAATCCATTTCTTATAATCCATGTTTTTTGCTCTGTTGAAAGCTATAAGCTATTCAGCTTTTGACAGAATATGGACAAAATAGGACCTTGGGCAAAGAGCTTGGGAATTCTAGGTTCAGAGCCTGGCTCTGCCTTTTTTTTATATATATAATTTTATTGAGGCATATTTTACATATCATAGAATTCACCTATTTCAAATATACAATTCAATGATTTTTTTAAAATAAATATACCCAAGTTGTACAACCATCACTACAAATCAGTTTTAGGACATTCTCTTCCCCCCAACAAGATCCCTCCTACCCATTTACAGTTAATCCCCCTTCCTCGTTCCTATTCCTGGCCCTTGGCAACCACTGACTGACTTCTTGTCTCTGTAGATTTGCCTTTTCTGGACATTTATATAAATGGAACCAAACAGTATGTGATCTCATATATGGGGCTTCTTTCATTAAGAATAATGTTTTTGAGGTTCCTCCATCTTGTAGCATAGAGCTGTAGTTCGTTCCCATTTATTTCTGACTATACCCCATTTTGTCTATCTGTTTACCAGTTGATGGGCATTTAGGCTAGTCCCAGTTTTTGGCTATTATGAATAGTTCTGCTGAGAGCATTTGTATGTAAGTCTTCGTGTGGACATATGTTTTCATTTTTGGGGGGTGTATACCTCGGAGTGAAATGACTAGATCATATGGTAAAATTATGTTGAACTTTTTAAGAAACTGCTGAACTGTTTTCCAAAGTGGCTGCACCAGCATCACACAAAGGTTCCTATTTCTCCACATCCTCTCAGCACTGCCTCTCAATAGCTGTGCAGCTTTGGGCAAACTTCAGTTCCATCTTTAAAAAACCAGGTTGGGTAGGGAGTCAACATTTACCAAGTACCTACTCTGTGCTAGAACATTTAGGTTTACGAAGCCATTTGCTTCCCCTCTCCAAAGAAATTAGATGCACTACATTCTTTGTCTTCCTTCATTGTCATCCCCATGAAAGATAGACATGATTTTCTATACATCTGATGAATTTACTGAGATTCAGAGAAGTTAGATAAATTAGTCATTACTGTCATACAGGATTCTTGTGAATACCACATTATACTGAATAATGTATATGAACGTTCACAGCATAGTGTTGGGTACACAGAAGATGGTTAATAAAGAGATTTTCATTTCTGTGCTTCTTTCCATCATCCGTATCTCAAAGAGGTCTAACCTACCCTAATCAGGTCCCACCTGCTTTCTGGTGATAGTTGCCTGTGATGAAACTGTCACGCTCTGGAGAAACTGAAAGCCTTTAGGGAACCCACCCTCAGTCACAACCACTGTAGCGCAGGCAGAAGTGTCCTTGAGCCAATCTTTGTCGCGTAAAAAAATAAGAGCGACTAGTTCAGGATGGGGTTACATCTTTTAAAGGTTGTTTTTCACTCTTATCTCTTCACCCCGCCCCGCTTCACAATGACAGTAATTACTTTTCCAAATTCCAGAGAAAGGAGTTCTGAAAAAGTACATATTAAGGTTGCCAAGAAGTTAATTGCCTTGATTGCTTTGAAATGAACCCTTATCAACTGGCTTGATAAATGGAAGTAAGAAATGAAAACAGTGAGAGAATGCTCCCTTGATCAAGCAGAGAAAGGTGATCTGGGAGAAAAGGGCCTAATTATTATCTTAGTCAAATTCAAGTGTTTGAGATTTTAAAATTTATTTCTGAATATTAAAGTTCATATGAACTATTTTTAATATGAAATTTTATATGAAATGTTATTCAACATAAAGTTAAAAAAATAAGTAACTTGTCACTCATTGTGTCTTTGCAGGGAGAGCCTGGTGTCAGAGGCCTTCCAGGTCCCACTGGGCCTCGGGGCATAGGAGCCCCAGGGCCAAAGGTGAGTCCTCAGCTTTGTGCTCTGTGCGAGGGTCAGGTCCCATTTGTGACCAAGTGAACATGCACTGCACAGAAGTGTTCATTCTAATGTTGACTGATTCTTTCCCTTCATAGTTGATGAAGACTTATTTTCCATATCAGGTAAACTTTCAGTAAAACAGAACATTTAAGTTTATAAAGCCATTCGCTTCCCCCCTCCCCCTGCCCAAAGAAATTAGAAAGGTAGTGTCCCTTTAAAAAGTGACTACAAAGTGCTCCAAATACATCCACATTCTTTAGAGGGATTGCCATCGAAGGAAGCCTGCCTTTCCCTTGGCCAGAGGTGCCTGTGGTAGCCTTTCCACAAGATGCCAGCTCATGTACCTTTTGTGTCCTATGTGCATAATCTACTCTGCCAGGGCCTCAGTGCCAGGGTCTAGAAGTACGTCCCCTTGGAAGGTGAGAGGAGCTTCCTTTGACTCCCTTTGCTCTCATTTCTATTTCTCTTGGTGATTATTCATTCTTTTCTTCTTTTAATCCAGTGTTTCTCAATGAGGGAGATTTTGTCTCCCCCTCTCCACCCCCGGGGGACATTTGGCAATGTCTGGAATCATTCTGGGGTGTCATGTCACACTTGGGGGAGGAGGGATGCTGCTAAACACCCTGCAGTGCACAGGACAGCCCCCCAGAGTGACGAACTATCCATCTCAAAATGTGAATCATGCTGAGATTGAGAAGCCCTGTTTTAATTATTCATCCATTTGCTCAGTAAATAGTTCTCTGATTTGTTCAAAAAATAAGGTAAAGAAGTATCAGGCATGTTCACAGGGAAAATGGGTTTCAGTAAACCATCCATGACAAATTCAAATTTCAAATAGACATATTCACATCTCAAATGCACAAATGTGAATTAGAACCCTATTATCAGAGAGGAAAGGGAAAAGGCTTTAGTTGTCAGATATTTTACTGAGGATCTCAGAATTACCAAGATTCTTAGTTTATCTCCTTTTAAACAATCAAGTCCATTTTGGCAGTGGACTATTTCTTAACCTTGAAGATCACTTTATATGGATGAAGATCCTCCCAAGATATTAGTAGTTCTTAACACTGGGTGATGGAATGCTAGGTCTATTTATTTTCTTTACTGTCATTTTTGTTTTTAATTTTTTTTTTGCAGAAAAAATCTTCCTCTTTACAATCAGAAAAAATAAAGCTTTTTCATATATTGGAAAGAAAAAGGCTGACTTACACAGTAACTTACATTAACTCAGCATTTTGTAAAGCTTGTTCCATCAAACGTTAATTTGGGAACCTCTGGGACAAAGTTAGACTAATTTCTCTACTGTAGGACTTCTTAGGGGCATTGATATATTAATATACTCTAAGGACGTCCAAGGAGAGGCATATACCATGTTATAAATATTTCCCCATCTTATTTGACCATAGAAGTCTCTCCTCAAGAAACATGGGGTCAACTTACGCTGTAAGGAACACACACTGTGAAATGATATCGTTTTTGCTTCATTTACATATTTTCTTAAAAATTCATCCCTGATCCACATCAATAGCCACTGAGTCTTTAACTGAAACCCCCATTAATTAGCACTCTACACTGAAACGGAGCAACACGTTAAAGGCTACACAGATGTATGTGTGAGTGGTCTTCGAATCCCTGGTGTTCTAGGGGCTGGAGGTAGGGCCCAAGCAGACAACACTGTGGGGCCAACACTTCTCCATATTATGCCAATCAGCTCTGCCTTATCTCTTCATAGTTGGGTTATATGTAAAATTTTTGCAAACAATTCTATGGCTTAAAAATTTTGGAAAAGCACTGCTTTATCTAAAATATGATATAGCTCATGGGCTGCGTGGATGTAGGTCTCAACCAGACTAGAGTCACAGTGAAGCCCAGAGCAGTAGTCTGTTGTTTCTTTCTACATCTCCTAATTGTCTTCCTTTTCTCTCTATCTTTGAACAGGGTGATATTGGGCAGAAAGGTTTGCCTGGCCTTCCTGGCCCCCCTGGCTACGGATTACAAGGAATTAAAGTAAGTGAACGGGATTGTGCTGGAGTCCTCTCTCAATTCACAAGGGCGATGGGGAGAAGAGGGTGTGGATAATACAAAGTGTGACTGTCATGAAATGGACTTCATGTGAGCTTAGCAGTTAAAGTTGCACCCAGTGTTTAGAGGCATCGTGCAGCAGCATACAAATGGTCTAAGTACATTAGTGTCACAAGTGCTGAATGTGGCATAAGTAGCTTGGAGAAAAACAGCAGTCGCAGTGGTTTGCTGTTCCTGTGGGTTTCTGAGCTGAGTGGAGGGCCTGTGCCCCACTGCGTGTTCTCCCTCTCCCTTGCCTTTCTCAGCTGCATCCTCCCTTCTTAGATCAGTGTTTCCCAGTCTGAGCTCACAAAGGAATCACTCAAGGAGCTTTTGAATAATACTCATGTCCTACCCTAGAAGAAGGAAATCTGATTCTCTGGGGGTAGGGCTTGAGTACTGGGGGTTTGAGACCCCCCTCACGGGATTCTCCTGAGCAGCCAGGTGAGAACCACTGCTCTAGGCCTGACTGTGTGCTTCGGGAGTTCTCAGCTGCCCACATTCTGCTTTATTTCTGTCTCAGCCGCAGCAAGCATACCTAGCAAGGTGCGACTCCCAGGGTCTCCTATGTATCAGTAGACAAGATTTGGCGTCTAATGGTTGCTGAGTAATTTCAAACAATTCCCTCTGCTACTTCTAATATGTTTGTTTGTTTGTTTGTTGGCTCACCCTCATTCTATTTGCTTTCCCCTAAATAAACTTCTATGATTAAGCCTCAAAACTGAGTAATTCACCCCTGGATCATTGCTATTGACTCTAAAAAAAGTGGAAAAAGAAACTCTTTTTCAGATAACAGAATTTCCTAGTAAGTAGGAGACAGTAGGAGCACAAGATAATAAATGTGAAAATCCTGTGTTGAAATTAAACCGCCTGCTCCTGTGTAAAGAGTGAGCTTAGCCAAGAGCAAAACTCATTGAATCTGTGTTAACGGTTCCGGTCTATCACGCATTGTCAAGGGCTTCCACCGCAGGTCTTTTAAATAATAGTTCATCTGTCTGGCTGAGTATCCAAGCAAAGGCCAGTTAACATGTTGCTGACAGCACACAAGCACTGGAAAACACAGCAAAAACCCGCTTCCTTGTAAACAACATCCCTCAGTCTTTAAACTCTGCAGTTAAAAGATGGTAACGCTCTGCAGATGGTTTTGTATTTATGACTTTGCTTAAGCAGTGAGCTCATGTTAGACCACCGGTCTTGCTCCAATAGAACTCAATTTACGTGTGGTGTTTGTTTGTTATCACTACCTTGGCAAATCTGGAGCCAGCTTTCTGCCTTTGTTATCTGGGACACATTCCCTTATTTACATAGGAGCCTCTTAGGTTGCACTTAACTAATCTGCATCAACTCTGACTCACGTGGTATCCTGCCCTTTCTTTTATATCCTCTGGGTCACGCCACATTCAGAATCCTTCCTGAATGAAACTATGGTAGGTAGGAAATCTACCATAGTGAGGGAAAAACCAGAATTTAAACTGCCACACTTCCAGTCCTATCAGAAGTGAGATAAGCTTTTCCTCCATGGAGGGCTGTGGCCTGATGCTTCTTGACAGGGAGCCTTGACCAGGGCTGCCTCTTAAAACCTCTCGACATATGGGATCGCATGGCATCCTGTTGGCAGCAGGGCAAAACTATTTCATGATTCCTGCCTCATTTTTCTGGCCCTGGCTTGTACCATCACTGCACAATGGAGGGAACTAAAAAACTGAATTGGTGGTGTTCCTCCAAGTCATTTTAAAGCTACATATTCAGTGAAGTTTCATGTCTTATGTTCATTTGTTGAATTTATTTCATACCCCTTTCTAAAAACCATATGAGTCAGTAAAACTTGCTTCTGTTGATACATCTGCTGGGAAGGATTTATGGAAGCCCTTGTTAACCTTTGACATTCGGGCCTGACCTGTGCCCTGCCTCTCTATGCCACCCCCACCAAGGGAAAGCTAAGGGCTCATGCTGCAAACACAGAGGGATTTGCTCCAGCACTGACCTAACTTTTCTGCAAGACTATTGGCTCTTCTGTCAGCTATTCATTCAACTAACCAACCAATCCTGAGTGAGTACCATCTACATTAGCCAGATAAGCTAAGTGCATTACAAAATGATGAGTTAGAAGACATGAATTTAGTCCTCACGGGGTTTATAGACATAAAATAATCATTCTTGAGCTGCACAGAATAGGGAGGAGTGGCACAACGAAATGAATTGGGATTACAGGGTAGGCAAGTGCCCTGTAGTGTCCTGTAGGCCACAGTGATGTTTGGTCTTAATCCTAAGAGCATCGGCAAGACAGATAAGGGTGACATGACCAGGCAAGTATTCAGAAAAGACTCCCTCTGTCTACCACTGAGAGAAGGGATGGGCATGACTAGAAGGAGTGAGAGGCTTCCCCTTCCACATATTCTTCTGATGCTCAGTATAGAAGAGCGTGATCTGGGAACCCCCTCCTCCTGCCCTTCCCAGTGTTCTGGGACCACCTGGGGCTGCTTCTGTGGCAGCCCTGGTCCTAGGAAACCCTGAAAACATGGTGGGCTCTCCCACCTTGGGCACCACAGCAGCCTCCTGCCATTGCTCTGCAGTCCCTGCTGTGGCCCAGCTGGGTCTACACCAGAGAGGAGCTCCAGCTCCTTCAGGGGCCTCAGTGCTTTTCTCAACCACAAGTGACTACTGATTATGTGATGGATATGAGACCATGGCTCTTTGGTCCCAAAGTGGCCTTGGTCTTTCAGGTTGACAGCACAGGTCCAGAGGTTCTGTGATGCCAGCACCTTGTCCCACCATGAGCCTCCAGCACTGACCAGTTCCCCTAGATACGCCAGTCATCCCTAGAGTATGTCAGGAGGGAGAAGGGAGGGGGCATGGTCTGGAGGGATTGCTTGATGTGTCAACGAGCCCTTGAGGGGCCAGGAGGGACAGAACGAGAGCATGGGCCATCCAGGAAAGGCCAAGTATGAGGACAGACAGAAATGGTTTCCCTCCACCCCACTCTTCCCTTCTACTCAGGAGTCATACCTGTTTTCCTCCATCTTTGTTCCAATCAGTTCCCATGTCCTGATCTGCAATGGCATTCCCAGAGTATTTTTTCTCAGAGGGTCAGGAGGTCCTTATAAAAACAGGATTCCTGTCGGCCCTCTGTGACTTCAGGGGTTTCTGAGACAGATGTGTGGACTGGGACCATAGCTCCTGTGACATGTAAATCCTTTATTCATTTAAAGGTTGAGCTTCTGTGCCACTGGTTTCCATTCTTTGGTTAGACCTGAACGAGACTGATCTCACACTGCCTGAGAAAATGCTCCCTGCAGTTAGGCTGTGGCAAAGGATGGGCTGACTCACATTTCAGGCCCAGCCAGTGTGTCACCAGTGTGAACAAAAGGCTCAGTGACATGCGGCGGAGTCTGGTGAACATGACCTGTGTGACCTGGCAGGAATCCCCGTGTCTCCAGAGCTGACAAATAGTGATGACAGCAGTGGTTCCAGGGCCCCAGAACTAAGAGGTCAACCTCCGAGACACCTGGGACCCAGAAATGGAGGGAAACTTAGTCCAAATGACCCCTCCCCTCTACCTAGATTCTGACCTCAGTGGTGTGATGGAAAGAGAGAGAGCTTGAGAGCCACTCAGACCTTGGCCTGAATCTGTCCAGTTGTGTAAGCTCAGACAAATTATTTATCTCTGCTGAAACTTAAAGCATACTCATCTTTCAAATGGGGATAATAATGCCTATTTTACAAGTTGTTGTGAAGATGAAATTAACTGTACAAAGTGCCTAGTGGACACTCAGGTAGAGCTTGAGCTACAGAATCAACAGGTTTGCCTTGGTTTCCACATCTGAGTAATGAGGCTAATAATAGTACTATTTCTTTAAGTTGTTATGAGGAATAAATGAAATTAAATGAGACAGTGTGTGTGATGCATTTGACACAAGGCCCAGCACAGGGTTACATGTGCAGTAAATGTTTGTAGTTATTTGCATTATAATTCCTTCCTGCTTCCCTTCCCTTTTGACTAGTCCCTCTTGTAGTTTCCAGGATAAAGGCCCGGAATTCTGACATTCGTGTGCTTTAATGCTCTAAAATAGACCTGCCAGTGTAGACCTGCCACCTGTACCAAAAAGACACCTGAATATATGATGACTCAAACACAATAGAGGTTTTTGTCCATGGAGCAGGCCAACGGGGGTGTTCTTCGTTGGTGGGCAGTTTTCTTCCACATAGAATTTCAGAGAATCTCAACTTCTGTTTATATTCCCTCCATCTGCTGGGCCTCTTTACCACTTACACCCAGCAAGCAGAGGGGGAGCATGTGAAAGAGGCACAACTGCTTCTTAAGAGTCTTGGCCAAAAGGTGACACACATAGCCTCAACCCACAGTTTCTTGGCAAGAACTAATCTTCTGGAAAGGTAGTCTAGCTGTGTGCCCGGGAAGAAGAGGAACACGAGGTTTGTTAGAGAGCTGGCAATTGCTGCCATGCACCATTTAACCTGCTTCTGGGAAGGATGGGCATTCTAAAGTTATGTATTATTCTGAAGTATGTTGGTCCTTCTGGAAGAAAACAGAAAACCAGAATGGTATCCATGGCAACCTCCAGAATGCCTGTCACTCTCCTGATACTGTGGGGCATAGTAACCTCGCTTACAAGGACTGGGTACAACTTTATCCTTCCTTTTATCCTACCTTCAAAGAAAAAAAAAAAGAAAACCTTAGTTCCTTGACATCTTCTTACTTATTTTGAGTGGTGTCGAAAGCACCAATGGATAATTTAGAAATTGTCTTGAGTGGACAGGCTGAGTACCAGCCAAAGAGCTGGAGGAGGGCTGGGGTTTGGTGGGACCAGGATATGAACAGGAAGTGCTCTTTCCTGTCTTTGACGGAGTCAGGGCCAAAGGATGAGGGATGCCCCAAACCCTACAGGAGTGCTGTGGTTCAAAGGCTGGGGAGAGATGGGCATGGCATC